CACAAATTTCCAGTTAAAATATTTTTCATTTTAGCAGAAATGCCCGGTCAGAGTGTCCGACCAGGCTAAGCTTTTACCTGTCAAAACCTCAAATTTAGCGGACAATTGTCCGATGACCAACTGTTATTTGCAGGCTTCCTGGGGTGATTTGATTCATGGCATTTTTTAAATATTATACAGGCTGAAGAAAAGTAATTCAAATGCATGCATTTCATTCATTATAATATTTTATCATTACTATTATGAATCTCTAATATCATGTGAGATGGCACACATTGTAATATTTTATGTGAGTATCTAAATACAGCCAGGTACATTTAGTCTCACAAAATGTCATAATTTATTACAATTATTTTACTTGAGAAATTTATGTTTTATAATAAAAATGTTGAAGGTATGCAGATTACATGCATATTTTCTATCCTTTGAGTGATTTTACAAAACCAACGAAATGAGAAAATATGCTAACTAAAGGGCATTAACTGCTGAATGTCTTATGATATTATTACATACTCTCTCTTAATTAAATTGACCATTTTTTTTATTCCGGTACATTGAATAAAACATTCTGTTGATTTCTGTAATTTAACTTTTGACAACTAGACTACACTGACTATGTTATCCCATTTGCTGGTTTTGTGGAAGTCACTCTAACCCATAACTTACCAAAAAAAACCAGAGTATTTTAATTGCATAATTTTATTTTTCTTACAAAATTAGAATTATTACCAACAAATGGTTAATAAATTATATAATAAGAAGTGATATGGCTGGTTATCAATAGCTATTAAAATGCAACTATTAATTTATGTAAAATTCTGATAAATACTGCATGCAGGGCGCTACCAAACATATCCCCCTAGGCACAAGAATCATTCTGCATTAATAAGCGCCTTCTGCCCCCTACTGGATATAAGCCCTCAGGCTGATATTTGGTTTAGCTTTTTAAAGAATGATACATCATCTTCTGATTACAAGGCTCCTATTGGAGAGCTTCCTTTATATTTTATGTCACCACAGTATGCCCCTGAGGACTTGAGATGCATAGATATCTATTTCAGAACTTGTTTTTCATATCGTTACACAGTTTCACTACATGCAGGTAATCTTGGATGCTCCAAAAATTTTTAGATGCCACCACCTGACAAAGTGCAAACTAAAACAGTTTTGAAATGCAAATGTTCTTCCAGTAAAAAGAATCCTGAGAGTTAAATAGGCCAACCAAAAATTTAGCTCCCAAGAATTATCAGAATTTTTACATTATACATATTATAAAACTATAAGTTAATAGTTACGTGTTAAATTTTGGAATTATATGTAATTCAATCAGTTTCTTATTTTTGATTATATCTATTGACAAAATTGTTAGATGAGATTGTTAAATGCAGCTGCAGATGAAAGTGACAAATTATGGTCGCCAGCAAAGTTGTACATATGAATACATTATGTAGCTAGTTTTGATTGAGGAAATTTGTACTAATTTTCATTATTTAATCTGATTGAGCACCTTGAGTCATGTATCAGTCATATTTGCTACTTGATTAACTGTTTTAGTTAATAATTTATTATTATAGATTCTCAAGTTGTTATTTTTATTAATGTTTCTTTGATAGAAAATTGTTCAATTTGTCCCTTCTAAAGAAGTGTATTGAAATCACAATAATTGTTGAACAGTTATTGTTCTGTCCTAATTTTAATAAAACAGATATTTTTTGTCTAGTTGGTTATAGTGTTATTATTATTATTCATTCTGAAACCATCAAAGGTACTTTTGAATACTAATTGGTGGAAAAGCCCAAATAAAACCTCAGAGAGGCAGGGTGGCTGAGTGGTTAGGGTGCTTATCTTGAAATTTGGAGATCGCAAGTCTAGATCCTGTTCTGGGTTTAATTTACGAGAGCAAAAAAGTTGCTTGAGGTGTAGCTGAATTTAACTCTAGCTTTTCAAATCAGAATTGTTCTCTAACTTTTAGAGTACATGCGTAGTGCAGTGGGGGCAAAGCTAATGCAGTTGATCCAATTCTTTTAGGGTGCATTCCTTTGGGATGATCTGGATCAGGATCAGTGATCCAAGATCACTCTAATCGTGGTGCATCAAAGGAGTCAAATCTGAGACCAGAATGGATTCATCGGTACCTTTGATGCACCATGATCTGAGTGACCTTGGATCGCTGATATTGATCCAGATCATCCCAAAGGAATGCACCCTTAATGTCTCTCAGGGCAGTTAGTTGGGAATCCTGTCGTGCCTATTTCTCACTTGGCATTATTCCTAACTGTGACATGTTTTGTAAGTTTTGCACCTATGTTCTCTCATCTGAGATAACTTACATACAATGTAAAAATATGGCCATGTTTGAAGTGAAAGGTCCCATGAAGTTTTGATAAGTATGGAAGGAGAAAGAAATGAGGTATAACTGAATTTGAAAGAGGTGGTGAAAAACGAAGATTTAAAAATGAGAACTTTAAATTTTAAATTATATATTAATGGAGGGACATCTAAATAGACTGACAAACAACAAAACTGCCACTCTTCCCTGGAACGACTATTGTAGTTTGTTAGCCTCTACTTCCGGGTGCTAATCATGCTCAAGTCACGAGATTATTGACTGGAAACGTCACTTTTTATTGTGTGACCATTACGTCATGCAAGAATGGTAACTGCCGCTGACCATAATCTCTAATTGACGAATCGATGTAGTTTGAAGTTTGTTGTTTCAAAAACAGAAAGAGTCTCTGTCGTATTCCTGCCAAAAATGGGAGCCGTTTTCGGTGTATGTTCGGCTGCCACTTGTGCTGCAAATTTAGCCTGCTGTTGTGGTAGCGCTGCCTGCGGTTTGTGTTGCAAAGCTTGCCCGACTTGCAAGAACTCAACATCGACAAGGATTGTCTACTCCCTGTTTCTTCTCTTTGGCCTGATTATTTCGTGTATTGTGCTGATTCCTGGGATAAGACAAGAACTCGATAAAATACCAAAGTTCTGCGAGGTATGAAGTCTGCCATGATTTTCCAGTAAAAACGTGTTGATAGATAAACGTTACAGCTAGCTCACTACGCTGCGTTCGGTTTTCTCTGTCACTGTACTTGCAAGACATTACAGATCTTTAAAAGCTTAGGAGTTTTATTTGGTGTTTTGAATAGTAAACTTCCAGTTAAATGCTCAAATGACGCTGTTTTCTTAAACCCATTTTAATTCGCTTTAGCACTTACGGTATTATGGTAGGTTTTCAATTCATCTACAGTCTCTTGCATGTCTGCTGACTGTTTCGTTCTTCGCAGCTGTTGAGGGCGCAGTGTTTAATTTCTCACTAAGTAGTATGAGCATTTTATCGTATCAATATAAGCTTTGAGTACTCATTGGAAATAGGCTAGTTCTATTAAAAGCAACCACCTTTTAAATTTGAGGAACGTGACTTGTAAAATGCAAAAAATTATTAATTAAGTCATCGATTTTTTTTTTTTTTTTTTACTGGCACTTTCTAACTAATTGCCTTCTGGCGGTCTTTGTGCATGTTTACTCTTCCCGTGAGTTTATTGAAATTACCCTTTGGCAATAGCTAAATACAAAAAAAAGGTAAAAATAACTCAATTAAATAAAGCTATAAGTAAATTTCTTCAGCCTCCCATTGGAAAAGATATGATTGTTCTTTTAATTTCCATGCGCAAGTTATAGCAGTTTCAATCTAGTCCTCGCGGGCTCTGCTGTCTTTCAAATTAGACATCCATAAGTTTTGTTTGAACAGTGAAACTCCAAGGAAATGAATTTAGGAAGCACATTTTACATATAAATTATTATTTGAAAAACTTTCTCCTATATTTGGACCTAGTTACGCCAAATGAGAAACAACATGTGTTTACATACTCTAAGCCCTATTTACAGTTTCAAGATCTTTGTAAAAAGCTACAACGACACAGCAAAGTTAAAATATTTTAGATAGATTCATCTATTATAATGGCTCTGTCAGTACCAAACCATTTCATCCCTTCCAGGCATTCATTGGGCATTTGTCATTTCTTAGAAAAATGTTGCAAATGCCCCATGGTGAGTTTTGAGCTATTTTTGAAATAATTGTGACATTTCCTATTTTTGCAAAACTTCAGTTGTTCAGGTTTTTGTTTTATTTTTTGTGAATGTTAAATGGTAGTCAATATCTAATATTTTAAGCTCAAAGGAACAGTGAATCCACCTGGAATTCATCAGGTGCTCCTTTATTTAATACAAAGCTCTTCAAGTCTCGGGCATTGAGTGTGAGTTTCACAGAAATAAATTTAATCTTATGATTCGACACTCAAACGCTCTCACTTTTAAGCTATTGTTTCTCTTGCATACTTCAAGGTTTCTGATGAAAACAGTGAAAATTGCTCCTTTAGTAAAGTAGCCACGTAGTTAACTAACTTTCTGGATGTAATCTACTCCTTGTTCCCTTTGTACTGGTTCAAACACTTTGTAAATTTAGAAATTGTCTTGCAGAGCCAGTGTTACACTGGTGAGTGTGTTTAATGTAGAACAAACTCCTGTTTTTCAGCATTACATGTATAACTTGTTAATTTAACTTCTAGATAAGAGATGATATTATTCCAATATTTAAAAATACAATATTAAAGGGTCTCATTTCTGCTCAGAATAAAGGAAAACATGTCTTAGCTACTTCACTTTTTTTCAAATTTTCTGAGGGGTATGCCCCAAGGCCTCCCTTACAAGCTGACGTTTGCGGCATCACAATCATGCTACACCATTGACAATCCCGCTCTTTGGCAGCAAATCAACTTGAGAGCTCTGGATGCACCATGATCTGGGTTCTTCATAAATCCTGATCTGGATCCTAATTCTTAAAGGGATGTACCCAAAGTTGTGACACAACTGTGTGACAGCCAATCCCCTTTTGATCAAAACTATTTTACATTTGAAATCTTCACAAACTCAAACTTCTGCATCTTTTTGTTGATAGAAAGAAAGTGACATTTGTGATAATGTTGTTGGCTACTTGGCAGTGTATCGCATCTGTTTTGCCATGGCAGCCTTCTTCTTCCTGTTCTGCCTCATCATGTATGGTGTTCGTAGTAGTAAAGATCCACGGTCTGGAATACAAAATGGCTTCTGGGGTATCAAGATGCTTATCTACATCGGACTCATTGTTGGAGCATTTTTCATCCCAAGCGGAACATTCGTAGAAGGTAACCTTATGATTACTTAACTGTTATCTAGATATAATTTTATATGTATTACTTCATTTAATAAAAATATATTATTTAATATTATCTTTAGGTAATAAGATTGCAGTGACCTTTCAACCTCAAACTCAATGTGTTCACTGTCCTTTTAACTATCTGCAAAGGATCTAAGGAGGGGTGGACGGGTGCTTGGGATCTCAAGTGAGCGCTAATTGAATGGGGGAAAACTTAAAACCTCAAAAAATCCCTAGGGTTTCCAACAAAACCCGCAAAGAGGGCCAAAGTTTTAAGTTAAAATACGTTATTTAGTTCCTTATAGATGGTGCAGTTTCCTATTGGTTTGCCTATAACTGGAGTCTGGATAAACATAATTTCTTGGTTTAAGTGTTGCAGGGTTTCTACATGTACATTGTGCGTAAATAGGTACTGGCAAACTGTTAAGAATAAACCTTAGGCTAACAAAATGAAGAAGGGAGGTCACTTGTATATAAATTATGGACTTTTGCAAGTTACAACAAAAATTGTCAGTTTCTAGTTTTCTTTCGGTCAAATATACAATTATTACCTACAGGTTATGATTAACAAAGACTTGGTTGTTTGTTCCCCAGTGTGGATGTACTTTGGCCTCATTGGGGCATTTCTGTTTATCTTGATCCAGCTGGTCCTCCTTGTGGATTTTGCACATTCATGGAACAGCTCATGGGTTGAAAAAATGGAAGAGACTGGCTCCAAAGTCTGGGCAGGGCTACTTCTTTTCTTCACGTTCTTAATGTATGGCACTGCCGTGGCAGGAATTGTCTGCTTGTACATTTATTTCACTCATGGTCAAGAGGGTGCACCAGAAAAGAAATGTCACACCAATAAGTTCTTCATCAGTTTCAATTTGATCCTCTGTGTGGTTGCATCAGTTTTAGCTATTCATCCCAAGATACAAGAGCACCAGCCCAGATCTGGTAGGTGCTTCAGTACAACTCACTTAAACATATAAATTTAGTTTAAAAAGTTATTAAAAAGATACACAGCACCAAATGTTTTTGATCATCAAGATCATCAATTATCCATACATTTGAAATAGCATACCATTTTAATAACAATTTACCTTTAGTTAATTTTTTCCATTCTGAAATAATCTTGAAATGATAAAACCTTATACTCTCTGATGGTTCTGATGATCCAACATTAGGTGTACCATTGTAACAAAATTTTAACCTACATTTTCATCATTTATTTGTTGAGTACATGTATACATGTAAAGTTAACCCAGTCACCTACTTACAGTTAGTTGTTTCTGGGGTATGCCCCCTAGAAAAGTTTGAAATCCTAGACTTGCAGAGAAGCATTCTCCTCCAATTTGGAGCACAAAAACGGATAAATCAGTTTTCATAATATTTTACTAATAATTTACATAACAAGTTGTTATCACAAAAATTTCTATTCAGTATTCCATAATTACTGGCTTTGATAGGTTTCTAGCAAAAAACAAACTTGCAAGAGTTTTTTTTAATTCTCTGCTTTTTTAAAACTCTTAGACATCAAATTTAGACATCAGTGTCATCACCAAAATTGCTCACACATTGTCAAGGTCTTAAGATTCATTTCAAATTATGCTACCCCTTAGTATACTGGGTTTTTCCTTCTTCAGGTTTGCTCCAATCAGCAGTTATTACACTGTATACAGTGTACTTAACATGGTCTGCTCTACTCTATGATCCAGGTAAGTGTCTAACAGTCACTATTGCCAAGGTGTATCTGATTCAGGAAAATGTTCCATAACTTCTCAGTTTGTCCAATTTAAATGCGCTACAATTTATTAAGATGAAAATACCTTAATGAAGTTTCCCTTTATGAGATCTCACATGTAGATCTGGCAAGTGTCAACTGCATGGATCTTGTACAAGTCCAAATGACAAGATTATCATTCCAAGTATATCATACCAACTTCTGGTAGTTACTGGTTGCATGAGACTATTATGGAAAGTCACATGTGACTTAAATTTGATCAGAGTATAAGAAAGATCAGTATTAATAGGAATGTTTTCATGAAATCACATGAATTAGCTGCCTTGTGTGAACCATAATACTTTGCAAGTCTCATGTAACCACTGTTCTTCATACCGTATACCAGTAATCACTCACTAGAGGTTCAAGTTCATACTGGTCTCATGTGAACAGTAGTTGTACATGGTCCAGATTGTCTTATAAAAAAAGGATCTACTGTTGGTTTAATATAATGGCTCTCTTACATTAAGTAAATTGTTTTTTCTTTCCAGTGTTACTCTATTTTTGACACTGGACTTCTTCCTTTGTTTCAGATCTTTCATGTAACCCCTTTGTGACAACTGACCCGTCAGTGAAAAGTGTGGACAATCAGGCTATCATTGGCATTGTGGTGATGTTTCTCATGGTGGTATATGCAAGCATCAGGACAGCAAGCAGCTCACAAGTAGGAAAACTTGGCATGACGGCACGATCAAGTTCGTCAGGTACCACGGAAAGCACAACCCTCCACAATGAAGCAGGAGGGACTAGTGATGTAAACCTGATGGAAGAGGGGAACAAGCAGCAGGTGTACGATGACGAACAGGACCAAGTGGCTTATAGTTATTCCTTTTACCATTTCATGTTGTTTTTGGCTGCTCTTTACATTATGATGACTTTGACCAACTGGTACAAGTGAGTGAATTTTTCATACGTATGATGAAGTTATGAGAGACAACAATATTACAAAAGGGTGATGTTCCTGTGAAGAGTTCTCAAGGGAAACAGGGGAGAAGCACATGTCAAGGATTTTAAACAATATTAGCAAATGTGGTATTCTAAGTGGGTGAATTTCCTACTGGTATTCTTTTAGCGAGCTATGTTCTAAACAGAACATTATTTTTTATTTAGAGGTTCTATTTGAGAATTTGTCTAAATAACTTTTAGAATTAAATTTCTAATTTTAAGTTAAAGATTTGAAAATTTGTGGATTTATTTATCGGGTTTGAGTGGTTGTATCTTTTGTCACAACTTTAAACTCCCCCACCCCACCCCCACCCCCCTTCAATCCTTTTTCTTTTGAAAAACTGCATTTTTAAACTGTGCTTTTCTATATTATTTCATATTATAATGAACTCTTCATCCAATGTTACGGAGTTCATGAAGAAGCCAGCATTTACCTTATATCTACAGTCAGATCTCTCCACAACGGTCACCTTGGGGGCAGAGGAAAGTGGTCATTGGAAAGGGGTGGCCATTATAGGGAGGTAGGGGTGTAATATGACACCCGTTTTTTTTCAGGGGTGCAACACTTTTTTTTTTCAAAAAATGCTTATTGTAGCATATATAAATGAATCAATAAAACAGAAACTTGACAGAAACAGAGACCAACAGCGCTCGGTACGGGTCAAGCTGGGTGACCTTTTACAATTAGAAATTGGGTTTACCGTTTTGTATACAGCGTTCGTCAGTCCTTGATTAACTGACCATTGTGGAGAGGTTATTTTGGCAGTTGGGACGAGTTTTAGTGGCCGTTGCCGTTGTGGAGAGGTGGCCATTGTAGAGAGGTTAAAATAAGAGTGAATGTATGGACGGTTCGCCGGGACGAAAACACGTGGCCGTTAGTGGAAGTTCGACTGTATTAACATAAGTTTTATTGCACCTCAGACCTGAGGCCAGTAACATCCAGAACCTCACAGCTAGTGATGCAGCCGTGTGGATCAAGATCACTTCCAGCTGGATGGGACTACTGCTCTACATTTGGACCTTGATCGCACCTGTCCTGTTTCCAGATAGAGACTTTGACTAAGTGCGGCCACACCCACCTTGCAACACAACACTACACTACAACTTTATCACTCAGAGATAGAACTCAGGGGTTATGCTTGAAATCAAAGTTGAGGTTTATTCTGTTATTTGCGCAATATTAGCTAATGATATGATCACAGTTGTTGTTCCAATGGCCTGCAGTACTTCAGCTAGGTGACTCGGTCTTTTTCTATATGAAGGTTTAAATTAGTACAGTGAAACCTGTATTAAGCGGACCCCATATTTAGCGGACACCCTCTATTAAGTGGACACCAGCTTGAGTCCCTAAATTTTCTTCCCACATTTACTGTAAAATAAAAATAATCGAACGAGAGTTCGATTTGAAATCACGAGTATGATATATAATTTCAGACCAAAATTGCATGACAAAAAGTTCAATTGCCACTTTATTACATCCATTTTGAAATCACACTTTTAATCGCCTATTGTGAATACAGTCGGCTTTGGTAAGTACCAAATATTGTATTGCTCCACCAACAGTGTGCTAAAAAAGCAGAACCGGAAACATTTCATTTTATATGCAAAACGGAAAAAAGAGGTGATTTAGAGTAAAAAATAGCGCGTTATATAATTTTTTAATTCCTGAATAAATTGCACTGGCTTTCAAGCATTTTGATTGGCTATTTTAAATAAGTCTTGAAATCTGATTGGTTGTTTAATTAAAAAATTAGGATGGTTGTGAATAAATTGCTTTGCTGAAAGCCAATCAGATTGTAAAGATCACAGGTGATTTCAAAATGGATGTAATAACATTCAATAGAATGGATGAGTGTTTAATCAACTTATTCAAACACTAATCACTCACATCAACCTCCCATTCCACAACAGTGAATTCATTTAATATTCCATCAAGTCCATCAAGTGAGCTTAAACTGCTATTTAAAATTGTCTGGATTATTGTCAGGTCAAAATTTACAGATTACTTGAAAGTAAGCTTCAATTTTTTACAAATTTATCATCAGTGTTACCTTAAGGTAGAGTTGATGGAATTTTATAATCCAAAGAGATTTTGTGATAAAAATAATAATTGTATCTATAACAAAATTCTCAAACGTGATTGGTGCTCCACGCACCTTTTTGTCACGTAATCGGCGTGCGATCACATGGGTGTCCAATTACAGGTATCCAATGTGAACTTTTTGTAATTGGATACCTGTAATTGAATTCCCTCTTGATTGGGACGTCAATTATGTGTGCTTTAATGGCTTCCTTCGCGATGTTTCCTACAGTTTTCAAAACTTAGGAAAAGCACTACAGACATTTTTGCTCAAAAGAGGTTCTCAAAAGAATTTTTAACTCCGAAATTTGTTATAGATACGATTAATTAGTAATTGGACCTTGTGTTGTACAATTCAGAGAGTAATTGTGCTTGTAATTTCAAATTGGCCTCGTGCTTCACGCTTGTCCGCTTTTGAAATTACTTGCGCGATTTCTCCCGGAATTGTACTCCAGAGTTTATGAGCTCACTTGTAGTTCTTCCAGGGCAAACAGCAATAGTAGATGTATCTTATGTTTACTTGCTTGGGAAAGGAAAAGTTGACTGGAAGTTAATGGACCTCTTTTTGGCACTTGCAATATCTCAAGCTCTCTATAAGTTATAATGAAGTTTAACCTTAAAAATGGTGGGGTATATTTCATGTAGAACTGATGTATAAAACATGTATTATACATAGCTAGGGGAGGGGGGCATCAGGGTATGCTAGAAACCACAAAACGGAAGAAAAAATCATCCAAAACCACAAAACTGCAAAAAAATTCACCCAAAACCGAAAACTGCATACAAAACCTTTGAAAACTGGTACATGTGCAATGGTGAACAAACTACACTAAGTCACTAATTTTATCAAAGTATTTGTGAATGTCATGGACTTGTCTGAAGCCTTCGCATCTTTTAGTATCTTTTAGCTTCTGCAGGCTTCTCTCTTCCCTTTTCACTTTGCATCTAAATGTGTTTTTCTTTTGAAAATTCTTGCCCCCTTTCCCCTCCTCGCAAAAAAAACGCAACACAATCCACAGTTGCTTCTTCTGTTGCTGGCAAGGTAGGCATGTTGGATACTGACCAAATGATCATCCTGGTCTGCGAGGTCAAAGTCTCGGGCATCGTTTGAGATGTGTGATCCCCTACCGTGACATTTAGATTGTCAAGCATTCCTCTCAATAACTTTGGCATTTCGCGGCTATTCGAGATCAATTGCTGCTCAAATTGAAGAGAAACCGGAACCCAAATAGGACAAAAAAGGAAAAACTGAAGGACTTGTCAGGAATAACAATCCTGCCCCTTTTCTGTGGCTATTTACGTGAAAAGAACACACACTTGGTGCGTTAGGATCATAATACAGATACGATATATTGTGGAAGGTAACTAATTCATATTGTAATTTAATTGATGTTGGTATATTGCAATATATATATCGTAGGTGTCAAAATTTTCCAGATTTAGTTGAATTTCATGAATTTTCTGCCGCAATTCCAGTAGCTTTACTTCTTAGAGCACGCTTTTAAAAATAAGAAAGTTTGTATTGACAAGTGTTCTGATTGACCAAAATTATGTCGCCGTAGTTTTGATCCTAATCACATTTAAATCAAGCACGGAAACAGATATCTTCGTTTCTCCAGAATACATCGTTTCAGTAAGACTTGGGAACATTTAAATCGCCAATTATTTCTACCTGCATGACATTTTAGTTTCCTTTTCTTTCTGTGTCATGAAAGAAAATTTAGTTTCGAGAAGTTATTTTTGCTGAACATGTTTAGCTTGTGAATTGCAAGCGTTTACCCTGGTAACATTCATACTCACTATGTCAATAAATCACTCTGAAATGGAAAACAGTATCATTTCTTTGTTGAACTAAACAGAACTAACTGCTTCCATCGGCTTAAAATATCGCATTGGTGGACAAATCGCATGATGTGGCGGTGTCTCTACTTCAAAAATATATTTCTCTTTCACTATCACCATCAAGTCCAGTTTGCAGTTTTCTTGTGTAAGATAATACCGAGAAATGAGAGTTTCACTGAAATGTTGCAAATGACACATTTTGTTGTTATGCACCGAGTTTTGGCTGAAATTTTGCTGCCATATTTACATTAACAATTACAAACTTTACTCTAATGGGATATTACAAATCACTATGTAAATAGTTCACCCCTGAACTGAAAACAATACCGTTTCGTTTCTAAGGAAATGAAACAAAAATTCCAATGCCCACCTCCCATCTGGGCAAGTTTTTTCAATATAATTAATTCATTACAAATGCGGGCAGGGATTTCTTTTTCTTCCTCTCTAGATCTTGTCCTGGGGAAGGAGGGCATGATACATAATTTTCTCTGATTGGTTGAGAATCAATAATTATGATTGGCTGTGATATTTCAACAAGACTTTAATTCCGGTCAGAAGCTGGTGAGATGGAAATGAAATGGTGCAGAAGGTAGAGAGTTTATGGCTAGGATGAGTTTTCTTCTGTGTTAGCCAAAGTCCTACAAATATTAAAATATAATTATCTGAACGCAGGGTAGATTAAGAGCGTGCTGTAATGTACTATATACACGTGAAGATGCTTTTGGTGGTTTTCCCAATGTTTCGGGAAAAATGTAATTTACCCATGGAATGACTCCAAAAGTGCTGGAGTCCATATTATTACATGTAGTGGACACCTAAGCTTGAGTCCCTATTTCTTCCCACATTTACAGTAAAATAAATCCATGCATACAGCGGACACCTCTGTTAAGTGGATGCGAACACCAATATTAAGCCGTTTTGTTGCACAAAACCTGCAACATGTGGACACGTCAAGGGCTTTTTACTTCTAAAAGCTCAGCTGAGACTCCTCTAACATTTGTCCAGCAATTTAAAGCTAAACTGTAGATTATTCCAGATTGATGCATTGACTGACTGGACATTGTGCTATGAGCAGTCTTTGATCTTACACTGTGTTACACTGAGTTACAAAAGGTTTTAGCTAATAAATAAACTAGACACTGAGAGTGTTTACTCGGGCTTCATAACACAAGATCAAGTTGTACTTTACAAGTAAGCTTATTGAACACAATAAAAACAAATAAAAGAATCAGGACATTTCAACACAACAGTTATGCTCAAATATTTACTATTCAAGTTGCTTCGTTGAGTATCCTCTTTATCCAATTGCATGTTCCTTGCTTCTTCAAAGTTCTGTTTGCAGATGTTTGGTATGTTTTTGATGTTTTCAACATCTGAGGTGTTCATGAATCTCAGCATCATAGTTTGTTTTCAAGTCAGTAGTCACAGGTTTTTAACAGTGTTGTCGTAGTTTGAACTCTCACGTGGCTCATTTGTTATCTTTAAGAACAAGACTGAACTTTTCTTATTTGTCAGGCTTTCAAGCAATATTTAAAGTTCCCGGACTGACCTGTTCCGAAAACGAGCGACATCTTTGTTTGTGAGATGAACGTATAAGGCGTGATTCCTTCCAAGACTTTCTTCACAAAGCACAGCACTCTGTAAATCATGTTGTTCTTGTTCATGAAGAGTGGGTACAGGATAACATAAGCTGTTGCCCTCTCATCCCCAGTTTCCACGGTCTACACTAGGAACGCCTGAAACCGTGAACCCCCTTTTGGCAATCAANGCAGTCTTTGATCTTACACTGTGTTACAAAAGGTTTAATAATTAACTATTATTGCTAAACCTGGTTAGAGCGGACACCCTGTATTAAGCGGACACTAATGAGTGTCCTAAGGGTGTCCGCTTAATTCAAGTTTCACTGTAACACAGAAGTGCTTCAAAATTATAGCAAATGTTTTTTTAAAAAGAATCGAAAGATTCTGTAGGTAATGGTGAACCTCAATTTACAATAGTAATATAATAACAGGTTTTTGTTGCCAAGAAATTGCGCGTTTTTAACTAAGTAACGTCTGATCAACAGCCTGCTTTTCGTCCACAGCTGCAGTAAAATTAACCAGCTGACGTTTTGATTCTTAGCTCTCCCTATCAGATTCAACGGTTGAGAGATGCAAAATAGAGAAATAAATCCAATAAGATCTTTGCCCTTTTCAGTAATCATATGTAACAGTCGTGAGAGATTTGATTCTGTTTTGGCAGTGAGACTGCAATCTACTTATCATTTACTGCTTTACAAAATATTGCAAATAGGAAAGGCTTCCATGTTAATATGATAGCTTTAACCGAAATTATAATTATGGATGTGTTTATATAATAAAATTATGAATTATGTTACCTTTTCCAAGAATACAACGTGTTTTACTCGTTGAATCGAGAAAGAAGCGCAAGTGAAATAAAGAGACGATGGTTTTGACGCATTATCATCCCTCGCGTTGCTTCTTAACTACGTGTAACTGTACGCGTGGAAGATGCTACACCTTCACCTGTTTTCCTGTATATTGGAACTAGGTAGCCCAAGTTACTGGTGCGTACTTAACTCTCGTACCACCCGGAGAATTTCTACTCCCTCCCTCCCCCGGGCCCGGATGGTCTGCAGTCTGCAGTGCCCCTACAGTTTTCGTTTCTTTGAACATCTAACAATGGTACTCTTGTAATGCCATGCATTTGGTTTAGTAGCCTGCGAACAGACTCCCGTCGAACCTGAACGCGCAGGCCCGATCGCTTCGCTCTCCGAATTCTCCACTTTCTCGCTCTTCGGCTCGCTTTGCTCGCCGATTTTTTTCTTTCCTCGCCGGGAGCCTGTTTGCAGGCTGTTTGTTTAGTTGAGGGGGCACACGAACACTTTTCATAATAGTGGACTTGGATTGATATACGCAACTGCCCAGCCTACCTCCAAACAATTATTATGACTTAGCGAATGCTTATTACAATTTAACAGAACAGTTTAAACATTCTTATCATTTTGCTCAAGAGGAACATGATCAAATTAAGGTTTGCATGGATCGCGATTTTAACTTATTTCAGTAAACGTCGTTAAGAGACGGAGAAGGTGAGTCTTGGATTCAGCTTGTCTGTGATAAGCCTTTAGTGCCTGCACATCACAATCTTGGAAAAGGCTCGTGCAAAGAACCTGTTCATAGTGCCGTAACATAATGGATGAACGGCGCTTGGCAAACACGTTAGAATATAAAAATACTTGCGCATCATTGCTTGGTAACGAAACTGCCATCTGTTACTCCCAGCTGTCGAGTATTCCCATAAAAACAAGATCTGGTAAGGAATGTAGCAGAACACAAATGATAAGATGATGACGTAGATCATTCTCAGAAGGTCGCATTCAAGGTCAGCGTTACACTTGTTTCCAGGCCTCGGATTCCTGTTGTTAACTTCCAGAAGGACTTCCCTCCCGGGCGCACCGTACTGAAGATGCAGAACCACCCTTCGGTCGTCGGAACTCTTTCGTGATGACATCATGATCTCCGAAGTTTCCTCGGCATTTCTTCGGATATGACGCTTGAGTTTCAGTGCCACCGCCCCGTAGGACCACATCATAACCAGATAGGGAAGTAAGAAGCATAAGGTGAATCGAATGATGGTGTAGGTGTCATTACCCGTGAACTGCGAAAAGCACAGTTTGTGTCCAGATGGCAGCTCTACAAGAATTCGCGTCACAAATAGAGGAAGCGAGAGTGCCAGGGCTGCGAGCCATATTCCACCAATGATCAGCACCCTTAAGAGAGCCGAGAGCTTTTTCTTTGGTGTAACTATTCGCTGGTAGCGATAAACCGCGATGACGGCCATGTCGCTAGTAACCACAACAACGGCCAAGACTTGCAGTGGAACGAGCAGCTTACAGTTGAACCCACCAAAGACCCAGCTGTACATTTCTTGGTAGGTCATGGCGAATGGCTGACACAGCGAGCTGACAATCTCCGCGACAGCCAAGTTAGCCACCAGATGATACGTAAATGGCTTGCATCGGCTAGGAAGCTCGATTACCGCCTTTAACACCAACGTGTTCCCGATTAAACTTGCAAGAATGATAACAGAGAACAACAGCAAGCTTAAGACTCTCAGTACATAGGGCTCTGGGTGATCTGCTGTTCTTCCATCGAAAGGCGTGTCTCTTCTCAACGGAGAGGTTGAAAAATTCGTGAAATTGGTTATGTTCATATTTCCTTCCAGGCTCACGTCAGTTTGTTCGTTATCCTGCCGTGGGGGAAATTTATATATCAATGCTTCTGTCAGTTTTGCTTAGAATTAACAGTTGACAGAGATTTGCGTCGATTAAATATGCCTCAATCTCAGAATTTTCGATTCCATGATTTGTGCCCGGTCTGAATGCACTGAAAAATGTGCGCTTCGGTCCACTGAAAAAATGTTGTTTGCGTGAGAAGAGAGAGTTGGAGACGCCATAATTTTGACTATATAATCACAAAAACAAATTGGACGAAAGCTACAGAATGTCGGCTTAGTTCTTTTGTGAGGCTGACTCCTGTAGGCCATAAGTAAATGGCTATTAAACTGCACACCTAAAAATAAAACAAATAAATAAATCAAATATAAAAATATATATATATATATATATATATATATATATATAAATAAATGCCTTATCTCGATAAAAACACAAGGTTTTCAAGAATTCGTCAGCTTTGTAAATAAAGCCGGGTACGTTGACCGAAACTTGACCATTACTTTTTTTCGTGTAAATCGGTTGAACATGCCACGGACCGGATCAAGAACACTGCGAGATAATCACTTTAGTCGAGATTGGTTCAGGTTTTGCTGAAAGGCATTTACATTATCAATGATTTGACGGCAGGGTCAGTTAATTATAAAAGTGTCTTAGGCAAAAACTGTGTTTTTGGCAGGTTAGATCGCTGAAGAGGTTTCCGAAACGCCGTAATTCTAAAATCTTTATTGCCAATATCATTTTGACAATGTTGTAAGGGACATTTCGTTTTCTAATTTGAATTAATTTTGAACGTGTATAAGTACAAAAAATAACAAAATTACTAAAAAACAGACCACGTATTCTGATAAGAGTAATACTCACGTCCTTGTCTTCACATTACGAACTCAGCTGAAGCAAGTGAACAGAATCTGATTCGCACGGCAAGTGTCCTATTTGTGAAGTGACTGCAGATGTTATTGTCTCAACTTTTATAGCTTTCCAATGTTTTCTGTCATAGTTTCAGATCAAGTAAAGCGTTAAGTCTGATGTCTTTCCGTGTTTTTCTTGCATTTCCCTTTCTAGCCTTTTATAAAATCTAATTTTCTGCATTTCGCGAGAAGCACTTAATTAGTCTATAGCAAACCAATGAAAAAGTATGTGGGGGGGCCAGTTATTAAGACTGTTGGCCACATGGAAGATCCGGTCTATAACTATCCACTGTATTGTACATCTGAGCACGTATAGCCATGTGTTAATGGAAGTCTCTAGCTATTCGTCGCCGTCTACTAAAACAATTACTTCATTGTCTAGCGTATTGCAAAATTGTGTGCTTTTTCGTGGTATAATCTGACATTGTTAAAGCCATAGTGGGCGCGCAAGCTGTAATTTTTTTCCCTTTAATCATATATTTGGTTAAGAGTCCTGCATGCTCTGTTAAGATAAAAGCAGCTTTTCAACCAACTTAGATATGCTATATCCTGTATAAACGAAAGCTTTAAACTGCGTAATGTTTTGTCTTACATGATAGGACAAGATAAATGTTTGCGTGCTTTTCAAGGAAGCTGCAAAGAGTATTTATTTTTTAAAAGATAAAAGCGAATATTTCAGGAAAATGAGTGCTGTTTTTCGACAGAAATAACTGGAGAAAGCCTAACTATCTGTTAAAAACAGCTCAGGAAGTGACGAGGCCACTCCAGTAGAAAAGGAAAAAAAATCGCCTATGGCTTGTGGCTTTTTTTCGACAATTTCCTTCATGTTTTTGTCATTTTGTGCGTTCTTTACAACAAAACAAAGCATGGATACGTAGGGTCTTATTACTTACAAATAACATTCTGGTAAAACTTTCGATTGTACCACATGACAACGTAACACCACTGAAATCATTCAGAGCATATCATTTCCGACAGTGTCTCATTGTATAAACCATCCATTTATTCCACAAACTAAATATTGACCGCTTTAATTTAAACTTGGGAAGCATCTATTTTGGCTAGTGAAATTGACTTTCATGAGCGCGACATTAATCGAAATACCCTTTGAAACACTTAACAGCATCTTAAGGCTAAATGGTAGTCTTATATCAGGGGTAAAATGGGAACTGGTATTTGCCATTTGCTATCTTTTCTCTTGGAAAATGAGATTTGGGTCAGCAAACTTATACTTTTAACTTTTTTGGCAAAACCTTGGGAATGGGATTGAGATTTGAAATAAATGCAAGCTAGGAATGGGATTTGGGCAAAATTTGGGCTGTAAAATGGAATTTATACCCTCCCCCCTCCCTTTTAATTTCAAACCGTTAATGTTAGCTGAAAAGCTACCTATCTCTAAAACTTTTGTTTCTCGTACAAGTATAACTTACATGTTAATTTATGCAGCGAAAGCTGAACCTTCGAAAGCGCAGTGGAAATTGGGACTCTTTTTCTAATTGTAAGTTTTTAATAAACCCATTCCTATAAATGCAACAACTTTCTTAATAGTCGACCTAATATTAGTCAATCTTCCCGGTGATTCATGAAAGATACAGATCGTTCAGTTGCCTTTGGCAGAGCAGTAATAGAAAATGTACATAAGAACTAGATTTCGCGTTATCGATTTGGAATGTCAGAGGGTCCTGAAAAATAAATTATCCTTTGCAGTAAATCAAGAGGTCTTTTCGGCAATAAAACTTCATGCAAATCGTGCAAATATGGAAAATATCGAAACATTAATTGGTATATGATTCGACAATAAGATGGCATTTGCACTCAAACAACGATATTCCTCACAGATTTTGTAATCTTTCTTAAGACTGTATCTTATGGATTATAGAGTTGATGTTACACAAGTCGATTTTTAACGCAACAAACATCGATATCATGTAACATGGCGCTCTGGGCGACTTAAACGTAACATTTCGTTGCGGCAACATGTTGCAGGTTTTTGAAGCCGATTCAAAATCCTGAAACATCGTTGCCCAAATTTTGCGTGTTGCGCGGTTAAAGATCGTCTCGTGTAACATGCCGTTGGACCGTTGCCGCAACCAAGTTTTGCAAAAAGATGTCTCATGTAACATGGATAAAAATCGGCGTTATAAATCGGCTTGTGATAAATCGCCTTTTTAAAACTCTAAAAAAGCTCTCACCTACCTTGCAAATTTTAAAACTATACTCTTCAAAATGTCGCAATTATCTATTCGGTTTCAGAAATTTGTACAACGATAAGACGTAAAAGGATGGAAAGCTCTTAAAAGCGAGGAAATGTCGTTTAAATTAATATGAAGTTATTTAAATAAGAACCTTTTAGCGAAGTTAGTGCGGTGTTCATTGTTGTTCCGTTCCCAAAGGACGGTGATTAATGTCAAAGGACAGTGATTAATGTCAGACAACATCTGGACTCTGTTGACCCAAAGGTAATTTTAATCCTTACGTCTCAAAACGCATTTAAAGAAATGAAGGTTGCAAAGTTACGTGATTGCAAATACAAGAAACAGTTCACGCGCGAGACATCACGTCTCTGTCCTGTCGTTTATTATCTATCTTAACGTTTTTGGTCAAACGAGATATCAAACCAAATAGTTTAATGCTTGAACTCCGTCTACTAATCAAGATTGTTGAATGAAACTCGCGGTTTCCTAAACTTAGCTTTTGCTTTTGCTGAGGATTTCACAAGACAGGAGCGAAGAAGCAGTCAGTTCTAACCATAATCTGATCTCAAAACAGGAATGGCCCTACCGCGGTGAAATAATAATCTTTTGACTGACGCAGACTTCCGACCAATCATTGTTAAATTAACAGCGTAACAAGAATCCGTGTAAAATGTACGGCAAGTAATCTCATTTGTCTATTCTTTATTAATAAAAGCGGAAAAACCTCAGCACAATCTATTGTAAGCATCCAATTTTTTAGCTAAGAGAACAAGACTTTCCTAGTAACACGATGCAGCGATGATACAGTGATCAGAGCACATGCGCTAGATGGGCTTCTCTTAACTTTGTACTTTTTATACCGACAAATTCATGCCGTGATGTACAATGAATTCGATTTCTTTCACATCGCCCGAGGAATATGGTTCATTCTAGCATAACCTGATGAATTACTATTGAAATCTCGCTATCTGATGACTAAGCAGGTGTGTGGTTTGGAATGCACTTCAGCATTACGACTATAATGAACCAGTCGGCTCGGTTTAGAAGGCTAGGGACCAGTCCCTCGCCAACTAACAGCAGTTACAAACGTTTTCTGTTTTTTTTTTTTTTTTTTTTTGAGACTTATAGAACTGTACTGCTTTGAATGGCTGTGCAATTTTTTTAAGGTAACTCTCCACTGCTCTTTTTATTGTGTTTAAGTCATAAATTAAGGTTGCACTGTTCCGTTGCATAGCAACAAACTTGGCCCACTTTTTACCATCGATTGCATTTATCTTCAAAACTAATGAATGAAACATCGCCAGCTCAAGGCCGTGCGATTCGATCTTTTTTTTTTTCTTAAAATCTTTTTCTTACCCATAGAAGAAGAAACAGGGGAAATTGTAAGAATTCCAAGTTGGAGGAATTCCACTTCCCATTTTATTTTACAATTTTGCACGTGCATTCCGCTTTTGCTGTTAAATAATTTTTTCCGTTAAAAAAGTAGGGTCACCCGATCAGTTTTTGAGATTTTAGCTTCGTGGTCAAGAACTTTTTCACGCGCGTTCTACGTGCAAATTAAAACTTCGATTGCAAGATCGCCCCTTGCACACGCGTGAAGGTGGGCCGCTGATCAGTAAAGCCCCCAATTCCACGTGAATAGTACCACGAGTCCAGCGAATAATGTTTTCTTTTTCGCTGTTGTCGTTAGCAGGCATATGAGGTAGAAGAAGAGTTCCATAAATACCCGAAGGTGAGACTGGCCAAATAGAAAGAACGAAGAAAACCTGAAGAGTAGTTTTTTTTTCTCCTGCAGTTTTAAGTGAAAAGTGCGCTATTGGGATGTTTTGTGGATTGACGCTGCTAAGGCACTCAGGTAATAAGGAACTACTGCACTAAGTTACTAAGGTATTAAGGCACTAAGGTACTAAGGCACTAACCGCTAAGCCACTAAACCGTTAAGGCACTAAGGCACTTATACACTAAGGCACTAAGACACTAATGTAATAAGCAATAAGGCCCTAAGGCACTAAGGCATTGAGGCACTAACTTTAATATTTATATAATTAATTAATTTCAATTAATAAATTAACCTTGCAGGAAGGGGGGTGAGGTGGGATGGGGTAGGTACTTGTGAGCACTAGGTAAAACTTGTTGTACCTACGTAGTGTGTGATCTTTTTGAAACGTATCTTCCACTTAATATGTAGTTGACACTAACGCTTATTAATCTGCACATGCGTTTAGAGCGAATATTGGTTTTGTTCTAATGACAAAAGTACCGCCAGGGGAGCAGGGGTTTTCTGAAACAATTATATAGCTTTGTGAAGTAATAAAGAAGTAACATAACGTTGACCGCTTTTCCTTGCTGTAGAACCCTAACATGTCATACGCATGCGTTCTAGCTTCGTTAGCAAGATATAAGAGCGCTACTGTGACTGCATATCTTTTGGAATTGCGCTTAACTTTGTTCAAGAAATATCATCTGTTGTTTCCAAACTACACTAGTGCGTTTATTTCATCCTTTAATTGCCTCTATCAAAAAGAACAAAAAGTTCATAACCGCATCCAAAACGTTCCCGAGTAAGTGGCATTAAAACTTGTCAAATTGTACAAAAAAACAAAAAAACAGAACAAAACAAAAAAACAAAAAAACAGGAAACTGTTCAAATATTGTTGCAGACTCCGTAGCACCTAGACTGCAAGCGTAAATTAATTTATCAGTCTTTGAGGGGACTCGTTCACAAATGTAGGATTTAATCTTCGTCAAGGAGAGCTGTTTACTTTCAATACTTCTCGTTGAATCGCGTCTCAGTTGTATTAATCGATATCAGTGTGTATTAAATTTAAGTGGCTTTATTGTTATTGCCAAAGATGGCGACAGAACGTGATATTCCGTGACAATTTCATAATTAGATTAGTTCTTGTTTTTCGGTAAAAATTAAATCGTTCCTCTTCCATTTCGTCATCCGACATTCAACTTTCTTCCATTTATCTGCACTTGTGAAAAAAAAAGGAACACATCTCCCATGTGTTTTCGAGAAAACAAGAGTTTCATGTTACATACCATTGCGAGGAAACCAAAAGTATCAAGTTACAAACGTTGGCTTTAAATGTAAAATTGTCAAGTTTGCTTCTTAAAATGAGCGCCAGAAAATCGACGTAAAACACCACAGTAAAATTCAAGAGCTGTCTTGACACAATGTAATTAATTGTAGTTA